TGGTTTGTTAAAATATGAAAAGAAATGCAACACAATGATCAAGCCTGGAAAACTTTTTTGTATAAAAACAATGGAGGGAAAAAGTGATTGTTAAGAATTTAAACTTTTGAAAAAAGAAAGTTCATTAAGAAGTTCAGTAAGAATAGCCAAAGAAAAATAAGAATTGAAAGAAAAATTAGAGTTAAAAGAAAAACAATAACAGCTTTAAGAATTAGCAAAAAATGATTTGAACTTTAAACATTATATTTTGTTGGAAAAAAAGGCTGTATTTTTCAAAAAGAAAAAAACCTATATGTACAGATTCAATCATTTTTATGGAATCATACAAAATATCCTGTCTCCAATAAACAAAACAAAAAAAGATTTGTTACATTTCTGATACAACTGTTGTAAAGATACAAATGTTGTCAAGATGTTTTGCCACATTTAAATGTTGTTGAATGATGTATAAAGCCACATTAAATGCAATCTTATATAAATGCCAGCATAAATGCCACATTAAATGCAGTTGAATGATGCATAAAGATTGTATATTGTCAATCTCATACAAATATTTGGTGAGGGTTTCTTTACCAGGATAATTATCACACTGTACAAGCATGCATTCTTTGTTTTTTACTGAGCAAACAGTTTTCAAAAGTAAATTCTTATACTTTAGTCCAATATTTAAGGCATCTACTAGCAATATGGCATTTTGGTAATAAGAACAAACACAAACAGAATGTGTACCCCTTGCACCTGGCAATGTGTACCACGTGCACCACTTTGGTCTAAGTGAAGCAAATTTTGAGTAACTTATTTGTATTTCTGGATTGTTTTTTTTGAATAATACAAATATAGTTCTATATCAGTTTGTGGTAATAAAGCATTAGGTTTATGGAGCTAATCTTACATTTCAGTGTGACTTACCAATGTTTGAAGCTTAGAAATGTCTCATAAATTCATTATAAATGTTAATTGTGTCAAAAAGAAATTAAAATTCTGTTAAAAGCAATGTTTCACTCCACAATTTTTTCATTTTATTTTATTTGTTACCATATTATCTTATCAGGGTTTTATCTTATTGTTAGCTTATTATCTTATCAGGATGAGTAACAAAAATTTAAGGGTTTAATATAGTGATGACATCAAAAAACCTCAGTTCTTTAGTTTTGTTACATTTTCTAAGCTTCTGTAACTTTTTTTTCAAAAACATTCAGACCTTATATAAATTTTCTATAGGGGCCCTAGTTTCCCTGTTCATGATCCCGTCATTGATTGGAAAAACTATTTTATTTTATTATTTATCGTTTGGAATATAGAAATGTATTTCAATAATCAAATAGAAAATTTTTAAAACAAACAATTTTTAATTTCAACAAATTGATGTCATTTCTTGGTCAATTGGGTCAATGCCCCAACATCCAATTTTAGCAATTTAGTATTCATGTGGAATAAACTTACTAAGACCCATATTTTATCGGTTTGGACCGCTAGTATTTATTATTATTGCCTTTCAGAAATATATTTAAGTATTATCTTTAATCATAATGTTCTAAAAGAAAAGTGCTTACACTACTATAAGTACAATTTTATGAGTCACTTAGGAAAAAAAAAAACTGTTTTACTATAAGAGCAATCACTGCAAGATAACAGCAAGATACCAATCAAAATCCAAATCTGTTCCTGGGAGAATACATTAAAGGGAGACGAGAACACACAAATTGATAAAGTAACAAGTATATGACAAAAGAAATTAAATTTTCCCCATTTATTAATTCAAACCGTACAGGTTAAATAGGATCAAGTGCTGAAGACGTATGATAAATTTGTAAAACAAAAAAAATCCATTGAATGGAGTTTTCGACATCACAAAAAAAGATGATGAATGGCTCTGCAGCAAGGACAAAAGTTTGTATCATTTTCAGATTGAAAGCAAATGCCAGGTTGGGTATACAACTGAAGTAGTATTTGAAGTCAGAGTCTAAAGATTCAAAAGAACAGTCCACTTTTAAAGTGTCTTGAAGATTTTTTTGACATTCTGTGAAAAAAAAGAGAACCTCCATTTTAGATTTATTTTGTCTAACAAAGCATAAAAATTGTTTTAAAAAAATGTTGTGTTGTATATATATATATATATATATATATATATATATATATATATATATATATATATATATATATATATATATATATATATATATATATATATATATATATATATATATATATATATATATATATATATATATATATATATATATATATATATATATATATGTATATATATCTACATACATAAGGTCTTGTTTTAAAGCATTAGGCTTCCAGTGATTTACGCATAAAGCAATTTTACGTACTCCTAGAACGATTTCCATTAAGTGACTTTTTATTATTTTTTAACTTTTAAGTTATTTTATAAGCGGTAATAATAAAGAAGTAATTCATTTTATAAAAAAAACAAATTAACTTTTAAATGAAAATTATGTAAAAAAGTTTGTTACAAAAGTTTGAATGACAGTTATATTAGATATATAAAAACTTTGCAAACTAATCTCTATTTAAGTTAATTATTTTATCGAAGTATTTAGTAACTGAAAACAAAATTGTTTGTAGTTAACAACAAATTTTTTTTGCATACAAAGTTATTAAACGAAATGTAAAAAAAAGCTCATAAAAGAACTATATAATATAAACTTTTATTTATTATCTTACGAACACAAGAATATTCATAAAACTTTTAACTGCAGTAAAAAAAAGTTTCTTAAATTTTTATTTAATAATAAAAAATAAATTATTTATAACAAAAAAGTTAAATTTTATTTTATCTTTATTTTATATTATAATTTATTTTTATTTTGTTTTTATTTTATTGTAATGATTGATTTTAAAAAAAAAATTAGCTCATTTTTATCACAATTGTTTTTTTAGTTTTCCTTCCTAAATATATATATATTTTTATTCAAAATTGAATTTTAAATAAACGTGTTTTGAGGCTGCATCAAAAATTTTCTCAAAACATAAGTTAAACTTTTTTTTATAATGCAATTAAAACACAGCGATTATTTTTTAATAAAAGAAATATATACAGCAATTTAATTTTAATAAATGGACCTGCATTTGCAGCCAACCTTAAACATTGTCACATCGTTGTAATGTTACAGAAAAAATGTGTTTGGAAAAATAATCTTTGCTTTCACAACAAAATTGCTAATAAGATAATAAACTTTTTAATAAATAAACACTCCTCTCAAAAATTCGAGATAACCTCTTTTAGCTGACCCAGAGAAACAAGATGTGGGGTTTGAAAGCCCTTGACTCTGTGATCACAAAAATGCAAAAGTTGAAATCAAAACATTAAATCCAAGAAAATAATTCAACATTTAAATGTATTACTATAAACAGCAATAGAGTAAATGACAGCATTTGACATTTCTACAGCATATATAATTGTATAATTTTTCAGCCAGAATACAAAATATGAAAAAATTCTTTTGAAAAAAAAGTACCAAAAGAAGTTATTCTTGAATTATTTAAAATACAAGATAAAATAGAAAAACTGAATTTAAAATGAAAAACTTTAATTATAAGCCCTGAGCTTATAATTAAAGACATTTCAAAAAATTTAAATAATAAAACAGATATGGAGTGTCAATTTTTTGAAACAGCAGACGATGTCCCAGAACCTGAAGAACTAGATGTTAAAAAGAATAATTTGATGATATTTGATGATTTACAATTAACAAAGCAAAACAAGTGTGAAAAATGTTATATAAGAGGAAGGCACAGTAATGTAGATTGTTTCTACCTTGCACAAAATTATTTTATGCTAACAAGGCAAACTATAAGAGAAAATGCAAATTTCGTATGCTTATTTCCACAAGATTCAAAGAACATAGATCATATTTATAAAGATCATGTTTCTAGTGATATGTCAAAAGATGAGTTTAAAAATTTTTGTAAGAAAGCTTGGTCAGAACCACATGGATTTGTTGTTATAGATCTAACTTCTAAAAGAGGTTATGGAAAATATAGAGGTGGATTAAATTGTTTTTATATACCAACTTGTGAATTTTCATGAAATTTATATTTTTATCAAATATATATTTTAAATAGATCTAAATGAAATCTGGATTTTTATCAAAAATTTAAAGAATCATGTTTAAAAATGGAATATTAGCTAATGGCGAGTTTGGTCCTAATAATAAACCAGCACCTGTTGATGTATATCCATTTCCACTACATAAGTACATTCC